GTCTTGCCCTTCAAATATGCCAGCCTAGGCTCATGGACAATCCCTCGCCCCACACAGCCCAGCATGCTGCAACAGCTGGTGCAAGGCGCATCATCGTGATTTTTGAGCAGCGACGGCGTCGGCGACGTCATGAGGTCGCGTATCTGCAGAGCATGCCAGAGCATCTCGACAACGTCAGCGACCGTGACCCACTCTCGATCACCCGATCTCTGAATGACTATGGGCCATGGAAGCTTTGGGTGGACAATGGCCAGTGATGGAAGGGGCGGACTGGTTGCCATCTCATTCACGCAACCTTCGTGACCAAGAACGCGTACGCTCGACAAGCTGCGAGCGAAATCTAGCTCCATCATCATCGAGCCACGGCTCGGCCGTAGCAGTGGATGTATTTTTATCGGGGTATTGTTCTCTGTCTGGGGCGGCAGCGGGGTATGATGATGGCGCGGTTTACCAAGGACCGACGGCGAGGGCGAAGGATCGTATTCGCGTACATATCCCATATACGACGCGTCGGGATCGGATACATAATGGCGGCGAACAGGGACCGTCGTAGTCAGCTGGGCGTCACCATAGATAGGTATAACGAGAGATGCCCTCGACGGGGCGGAGAACGCCGTTGTCGGTGATGAATACAGTTTTGGGGGCTCGTTACCCCGCTGCGTCGTCATCGTTGCCATGTCTTCTCGTTGAACGAGCATCGTCTTCATCCTGGTGTCATTCATGGACCAAACAGCAAAAGGAGGCCTTACAGATGAATAGAGGGCCTAGGTTCACTCGAGCGAGTTCGAACGTGCGAGGAGGGAAGTATGGAGGGGTGGGAGCGGATGATGGTAGTGGTTTGAGGGAGAGTTGTGAGAGCATGGGGAAGGATGGGGCTGCTTTATATATGGTATGTCCCCCCTCCAGATATTGAATGCAAACCTAACCTACCTTTTCCTAGGGTTAGGATTCCGCTTATGTCAAATCATAACCGACAGCGCCTATATCATCTTCGTACCTTTCGAGCTGCTCCTTACCTGCAATTTCGGCTTTTTTCTAGTACAACAGCGTTTCTCTGAGCTGTGGTTCAGGCTCCCATCCTCGCTGCTTGCTATCCCATCCTGCTCTTAAACCATAGCTCAGACTACGAAGCCATCATTGTTAAAAACTGGACTTACTCGTCAGGCCGGTGGCGGATTTCAAGGCACCATATCGAAGGAAGGTGACAATGGTGCCGCGGAGCACTCTTTGGCCTGTCGACTGTGAAAGGCGGTGATGACTGTTCAGCATCCACAGATATCATCCCAAAGAAAGCAGGTTTCCTTGTCATTCGTATTCGCCCATCTTCCAGGCTGAGGTCTCCACGTGATGACATGGATACGGAACGGCGGCTAACTGTGTCTCGCGTGGTATACATCACTTATCGTGCAACTCTTCCACTGAATCTCCGCGAAATGGGCGTTACACACGAAGACAAGGAAGAAAGGCGAAGTTATTGCCGGTAGTGCCGGAATATTTAAGGTCCGAATCAAGGACAGCCTGGCGGCATTCAAGAACCTTACCGACTCTGTAGAGTACGGCCGACCATCAGTGTCTGGTAAGTTGTTTTCGGTAAGCTTGTCGTAGAACTTTACTCAAAGCTCCATTACAGGAACCATACAGTTCTTGGTGCAACTCTTACAGTAGTAACTTGCGAAGCAACTGCTCACCATGAGGGGCCGCCTAATATCATCATTAGCTGCAAAACAGGGCGACGCAGAGCTTGATGAATGATCGAACAAGTCGCAAAGCAACCAATTCACTGTGAGTAGTCTGCCTCGCTTCATCACGTTTACAATCTCATTATTCGTTCAGTACAGCCGCTCTCAAGTCATCATGAAAATATTCACTACATGTGACTCCGTATGCGAGGGAATTCTGACTCTACATCGACCAAGACTATTGATGGGAACAGAACTCGACAAAATCAATCAGCCAGCCAAGACTCGAGGTTAGCAATTTTCGTAAGCATATAAACGTATCTAATTATTCTAGTCCAAGACAAAGCACCTGTTTATCTCCTTTGCTATCGATAACGGAGGAAGAGGTGGAAGGCACGATGGAGTGGAAGTGTTAGATGAGAACGCCAGCGTCACTTTCAAGGCTGGCGTTGAGCCAGTACTCATCGGATTGTCATCGTTATAGCATAACCTGTCCTCTGTCCTTTCCTCAAAATGGCTTCCTTCTTCCTTGGCCAACAGCTCGCTCATTTCTATCGACTCGAAGTCACTCACTGGAGCAATGATACCTCTTCAGCTAGTGCCAGTTACACTATACCTCCCAGCGGCGCTCTCTTCTCATGGTGTTCCAAGTAACACATTGTGGTTATTCCTCGCCAATTTCCAGTGCCCCACTCTAGTCTACAAGCTCCAAGCTTGGGCTTCTAGACCTACAGTACCAACAGGGTGGTGATAAGCGCACCGATAGTACAAGATGTTACTGCGGTAATAAGGCCACAGTCGGGACGAGCCATTGTTGATAGATGAGGGCTGTCTCCCCCGACAACCTCAGTAATGGAGGAAATGCGCTAAGAGGTGCCATGCTCATGTCGCAGATCAGTGTGAGTAGCTGGCGCTGCTGTTGAAGTACACGAGCTCTAATAGTGGCGATTTTGTAGCTAGCTCAAGCCACTTTCTGGATGCGCTTCAAGAGGCTCAACTTGCATCTTATATGTCCACACCTGGATGCCTATCGGATGCTGGGTCCGCTTTCCTTGATATTAACCGGATGTTTGCTGCTTGTTGTTGGACTCGACCCATCTACCTCACATCCTTTCTTCGGTACCAGTCCCAACGCTCAATCTATGAAGAGAGACACACCATACTGCCGTATCATTAGTCAGTGGGCTTAGTTCATTGACCTCGACCAGAGGCATATACTCTTCCTTTCCTGTTCCCTCTCCTCCCAGTTCCTGCCACAAAGACACTACTTTTGGTGCAAGCGACAAGTGTAACACCTTTCGCCGCAAGATGGATGGATTAGGGTGTATCGTGCTCGTGATGACACAACGCTTCGCGCAGTGATCCTAGACATACAAGATAAGAATGTCGCTCCTTGTATGGGTAACGCACAGAAGCTTTCGTGTACTCCCACATTGGAATGTAGCAGGAAGACGAAACTCTTTCGGCGACCAGAGCTTTTCGAGAGGCTGGTGTAACCCTAACCTTACTGCTCCCAGGGTTAAGGGATTTTGAGTCGACGCCCTGGAAAGTGCTGCTTTTGACGTCGGCGGTCCACACTCTTTCGCGCGCTAGCACTCGCATCAGCATCTGTTCTTCCAGAGGTAGCTCATTGTTTTTATCGACTGAGCGTAGCTGATATCACTTTTATAGTACATACAGATGAGTGTCCAATTATTGCACCATACAAATATCCCGACGGCGCGACCTGCACGCCCTACGCGACAAGTAGTTCCCAGGTGTCGCTTCCTATCGCACGGAGACCCATGAACCGTGTCTTTCCTTTCAAGTACACCAGTCTGGGCTCGTGTACAACCCCTCGCTCCACATGGCCCAGCATGCTGCGACAGCTGGCGGAAGGCGCGTCATCTTGGTTTTTGAGCAGCGACGGCGACGGCGACCTCATGGGGTCACGTATCTGCAGAGCATGCCACAGTGTCTCGACAACGTCAGCGACCGTGACCCACTCTCGATCACCCGACCTCTGAATGACTGTGGGCCATGGCAGCTTTGGGTGGACAATAGCCAGTGACGGAAGAGGCGGGCTAGTTGCCACCTCGTTCACACAACCTTCGTGACCAAGAACCCGGACGCTCGATAGACTGCGAGCGAAGTCTAGCTCCATTATCTTCTCTCCTCGATTTGGCCGCAACAGTGGATGGATTATCGTTGGGGTATCGCTCTCTGTTTGGGACGGCAGCGGGATGTGACGCTGGCGCGGTTTGCCAAGGACGGACGGTGAAAGCGGCGCGACGTATCCGCGTACATATCCCGTATATGACGCGTCGGTATCGGACGCATAATGGCGGCGAACAGGGACCGTCGTGGTCAGCTGGGCGTCACCATAGATAGGCATAACGATAGGCGCCCTCAACGGGGTGGAGAACGCCGTCGCTGGTGATAAATGCGGCTCTTGGGCCTCTCTACCCCGCTGCATCGTCATCGTTGCCATGTCTTCTCGTTGGACGGGCATCCTCTTCGTCCCGGTGTCATTCATGGAACAAATCGCAAAAAGAAGGACCTACAGATGAATAGAGAGACCTAGGTTTACTCGAATCAATGCGGACGTGGGAGGAGGGAGGTGTGGAAGGGTGAGAACAAGTGATGGTAGTGGTTTAAGGGAGAGTTGTGAGAGCATGGGGAAGGATGGGGCTGCTTTATATATGGTATGTCCCCCCTCCAGATATTGAATGCAAACCTAACCTACCTTTTCCTAGGGTTAGGATTCCGCTTATGTCAAATCATAACCGACAGCGCCTATATCATCTTCGTACCTTTCGAGCTGCTTCTTACCTGCAATTTCGGCTTCTTTCTAGTACAACAGTGTTTCTCTGAGCTATGGTTCAAGTCTACATCCTCGCTGCTTGCCCACCTCCCTGCTCTCGAACCACGGCTTAGACGACGAAGCCATCATCGTGCAAAGCTGGTCTTGCTCGTCAGGCCAGTGGCGGATTCCAAAGGACCATATCGAAGCAAGATGACAATGGCGTCACGGAGCACCCTTTGGCCTGTCGACTGCAAAAGGCAGTGATGACTATTCCGCGACTTGTCGTCGGTTCAACATCCACGAATCATATCCCCAAGAAAGCGGGTTAGCTCATATCTTCCCAGGCTGAGGTCACCACGGATTGGCATGGATACGGAACAGCACATAACTATGTCTTGCGTGGTATACATCACTTATCGGCAACTCTTCCACTGAATCACCGCGGAGTTGGCGTATCGTCTCAATGTTTAGCTCCAACCAGTAATGTCAGCATCTACCATTGACGTGTTGTAAGTCACACTGTCAACTCTGTTCGTGCCCGCCTAGCTCAATCGGATAGAGCGTCAGACTCTTAGAGTACCAGGCGGTTTGGTGGTCTGAAGGCTGCGAGTTCGACCCTCGCGGTGGGCTAATGTTATGTTTTTGGCTCTCCCCTCCGGAGCCCGGGCCCCGGGGCCCGGACTCAGGAGTCAGCTAGAAGCCTAGCTGCTTCACTGAGCAGTGAGTAGTTGAATAGCGGGTTCAGGGCTCAGGGCTGGGCTCTAGGCCACACTGCTCTCACTGCTACTGGTGAATTTTAATACTGACCAATAGCCAACAGCAAACACTAAGTTTGCTACATGATCCAGGGGAATTTCACGTTTCCACATTCATTCTATGTTTCGTTTTTGCAATAGACACTGTCGAGTGATTTAAACTCCCGGAAAAGACACCAAAAACCAAAAACATTTTCATTTTCATTCGCCGAAAAAGTGAGAAAAAAAGTTTTGAAAAGAAGTTTTATATGTGTAAGAAGCGACGAAGCGGCGTGCTTGAGGTCCAGAGCGATATGATAAGAAATGGGTGGGATATGAGCGAGGGACCGCGGGGAAGACACGGGAAAAAAGGTGATTGGGGAAGGTAAAGCTGGCAGTTGTTTGGCACATCACAGGGGACTGGGACCTTCACGGTAGGCATCGCCTAGTAGTTACGCCTGTAGTCATGCAGCCTTTCCGAAGCACTGGAGTCGAAGCCTCAAGATCTCCAACTACAAGAGCGTGATTTAAAGCTTTAGTGCATGCCTTTAACGAGTCAGTTGTGCCGCCATGTAAGGGTTCTTCCCTTCGCACTTGACATCACTAACCAGACCGCAGTGATGGAAAGTGCAGTGCTGGAATCTATATTCAACACTGCTTAGTCGATAACAGTCACTTTTACGAATGTTGGGTGAAAGGGATTCGGAGAAGATGGCGACTGGCATTACTTCTAGTCCTACTGGTGTGTATCACCCAGGAAAGATACAATCATGGGGGATGACTTAGAGGTAGACCGCCTTATTCAAGTTGCCTGTGGCCTTTAAGTCAGTGTACGCCTTGAAAACTATAAGCATAAGTTAATGATGATTATGAAAGAAAAACATAGGTCGACCGCGCGGTAAATATCCAAGAAATGTGTGTCGACACCTTCGTATTTTGAAGGAGTCTGCTTGAGATCGTACTCGTATAGGTTCGTTGGGATGCCACACAATCTGACGGCGCGCGACAAGTAAGATGTTACGAGTTTAGCAGTGGTCGTGCCACCCAATGGCGCGGAAGCTGATTCGTCGATCTTAACGGAAGATTTTGGACGCCATTGCTAGCTTCAGAACAGTGCTTTGCCGTATATTCGTCGAAAAACTGGAGGTGTTCTGCCGACGTCGTGACACGGACCCTATGATGGAGATGCAGGTCCTTGTGCAGTTGCAGAAGACGCGGAAAGAAGAAGCACTGCCTGCAGACATCGAAGGGTAGAAACATGCGGTAGCCGGGGGGGGAAGGATTAAGTTCTCACGCCTTCGACGCGTTTCGGGCCGACGATCTGAAACCTCGGCTCTCCGAATGACGCAATCGACCTCAGACGAGCCGCCATTTCAAGTTCTTTTTGAACCTTTTGACCTTAACCACAATTCTCTGGGCCAATTCCTAGGATGTTACTAAATGCTATTGGTATTCCTACGACCCGAATGCTAAATCGGTTACTTGACCATATTCATCCTAAAAAGGTGATGAACGCCTGGCAATTGCATGCTCCACCTTCATTTACTAAAAGCTACCACTTCCCCTACGTAGTAGTAATAGCTATCAGATTAGCTTAGAAAGGAATTGCGATACTGGATGCTCATCTTAGTTGGTGGTCTGGAAAAGTGGCTGTCGAGGACCTGGTCCATAGCAGTGTACAAGATTTGGCCCCAGACCGAAAGCCGGGCAAGGCCAAGCCAAGCCAAGACCTAAAAAGTCAGGCTCGACGGCAGGAGTTCATCAAAGCTCGGGCTCAGACTTTGACCGTCGGAGAAAGCCCAAGGCCCGTACCGTCCGACTCCAGGAAGTTAGGGGCAGAAAAGGATAGTATTCTGTGTACAATTACTGCCAAGTAGATAATATCACTGCTTTAAAAAGTGTTCAGTTTGACATTGACACCTTGCGAGGTCTGATTTTTCTCCGAGTGTTGCTTGCCCAGTTCCTGGATTCTTAGTTTTTACCCACACTGACTGCGGAAAGCGATGTGACACCTCAAACTACATCGATTACTAAATAAAGCACTGGAATTTGTCTTGGCCATTGTGTTACTAGGAGTGTAGAAAATATGTACTGAATGTTCTCATTAGCCGTGGCCATTGCTGTTCACAGAAGACTTCGGGCCCTGCTCGCGGCGGCCCACTTCACTAAGTCGCTCATGAGAAAATGGTAATGGTTTTGATGTACTCTCCAACTGAGTTCAAGTACCTTTGATCCTGGGGATCATGAGACTCCACGACCTTGGAATATCAGTAAACAGAGATAGTATATGGCTCGAACAACGGCGGATTTCAATGCAGGAAAGGATGACGGCGATGCCACAAAGCATTCAGAGCCTGGCGGGGTATTATTTGAGCCGCCAACTAATTTATGGCTGGTACGGCACTTTGAAAACTGTATATATGAGTTATAACTTGTCTGTATACGCCTTTAATTCACTGGCGTTTCCTGTGATTGGGTTCTTCTGCTTTCTAGCTCTAAGAGTAAATTCGTTTGGCCTGGAGGGTGGGAGTAATCTGGGCGTCGTAGCGATGGCGTACTGACCGCTACTCCCTGTTCGAAGCAGCGGTCCAGTACCCCTCCCTCCTTGCCATGTTCGCCAGTAGTTTAGCTGTCACTTTTTCCGGTTTCCTTCCATGCACGCGGAAGACTTTTGGCCGCTATAGGAAATGCCCAGCATAACCAAACGGTCATAATTAGCCGCGATGCAGCGCAGTTTTCCGTTTGCCCATCTCTCCTCGATATCATGGCTCGACTAACCACCACCATCCTCATCTGCATAAATATCACCCTCCTATCCGGGATGATATACCTTAATTTTCACAATATTTTGGAGCATCGCCCGGGGCCTGCTCCTCAGTATCAGCTGCAGCCGCTGCGAGGGATATCACAACCTGGGCGACCGTCCGAGTCCAAGTCGTACACCCATGCAGACTTCCTACCAATGAGCGAAGACCACGCTCTGGCGCGAAGTACTGCATGGGTTCCCTTGAGCTTGAGCGAGTGTACCGCTGGTATGCCAGCCCATTATGCACCATGCGTAGCCCAAAGGTTGGAGCAGAACGTGGTCTACGCTGAAGAGCTTCTCTACCCATCTTTCAAGATTCGCCAGCCTTATTTTGCCTCGAACGCGCACAAGGAAAGGTGGGGGGACATCGCGATGGGAATCAAAGAGCGTGGGGTGCTACAGAATGACGGTTGGCTCGTATATAAGGGACAATCTGGACAAAATTTCGTGAGTGCACGATTTTCCATGTAGGCTAGTACTTACAGTATAATGATAGGTGTTTGAGAATGTTTCTTACAGACACTCGGGAGGTTATGATAGCTGGTCAGTGGGTTCGTGCATGTCAGACCTCGTTTCTTCGGACGGCATCAAGACGTTTGACTCGCTTAAATTACTGGGAGGATCCAGCCCACCCACCATATATCGAAACGCGATGCTAGCCACCTCACCTGACTCGTACTCCTTCCAACACTATCTGGATCGTATTACCCACATCATCACTCAGGGTGCACATCTCCTCGATGGCAGCGACCTCCCGTATGTTATCACGGGACAACGAGGCGACCAGTTTGTGCAGCAGCTCTGGGAAAAACTGGGCTTCGACGATAAGCACGTCATGCATAGCATAAGCACAGATGTATACGCAGAGAATATGATCTTCTCGTGTCGGGCGGTCTTGGTCCATCCGTTTCTCTCGTTGAGGACGCTTGAGGCTTTTGGTATCGACTCGATGAAGGAGTCCTCAACCAGGAATAAGGTGGGTGATTCCGTATCGGTATCTTGCTTGAACGCTACTCACCCAGTCGAAATGACTAGATCATGTACATGTCACGATCTAACGATCGTGCCAAGAATGGCGGACGCAGAGTACTCAACGAAATAGAGCTCCTCGATGCCATCCGTGTGCTGCTCAAAGAACGAGGTAAGGGCGAGGAAATCATCGTCTTCGACGAGACGCGATATAGCTCTGCGTCAGAACTCTTTGATTATTTCAACAAGAATGTCATGGCGGTTGTAGGTCCTCACGGTGGAGCCATGCATCATCACCGCTGGGCAGCTCGAGGTACGCTCGTCATCGAGATGATGCCTACGACGTTCACGTCCGTGGCGATATACGAAGAAGTATCGGTGCTTTCTCAGACCTATGCTGCGCTGGTCGTTGAGCCCAGCTCCCCGGGAGGGCGGGATATGATCGTCGACCCTGAGGATGTGACGAAGCTTTTGAGGGAGCATTTGGGCGTGCCGATGAGGAAACCACGTCATATGGGGGTAGAGGAGACGGGCGATGAGCACCTGGCAGAGGATCCATTGAGGGCTAGCTATCAGTGGGGAGGAAAGGAGCTTGGATCTTGGCTGTAGCGAGTGATCATAGGACAGTCCGAACGACTTGTGCTATGCAAATTCTATCGGAATGTCAATTTGAGATCAAGTGCCGTAGTCCGGCGTCCCGTCTACGATTCAACTACTTAAAATCTTTTAGAGGCGTATTTTAATTGTTCTTCCCGCCGATTTAACTTAGTCTCTCGTAGACAGACGGATGATACAGATTTAACTCTACTGCATTGGTACTGTATCGACATCTTGTGCTAGCAAGTTCAGGCAACTTCAAGCCGTAATTTTGATGCCGGTACGAGCCGCTACCGCAGTGACTTCGGAAGTTGCTCGGCAATGGCGGCGCGACTGACTTTCCGAGCCTCATTGAGATTTGGCAAACCGGTATATTGAGGATATGTTATACATACTTCGACTTGAAAGGTCGCTTGAGTCCCTTGACGCTAATGTTCACTACTGCTTGTACCATGTTTGAATGAAAAGAACTTCATGCACGAGGCATTGCTCAATGTCATAAATTTTTGCCACCCAGTTTCTGT